TCTCGGCTCACAGCAACCTCCACCTCCTGGGTTCAAGCAGTTCTCTGCCTCAGCCTCCCGAGAAGCTGGGACTACAGGTGTGTGCCACCACACCCAGCTAAGTTTTGTATTTTTAGTAGAGACAAGGTTTCACCATCTTGACCAGACTTGTCTTGAACTCCTGACCTCAGGTGATCCACCTGCCTTGGCCTCCCAAAGCGCTGGGATTACAGGCATGAGCCACTGCACCCAGCCAGTTCTCACTTTTTATTATTATTATTACTGTTTTTTGAGACAGAGTCTCACACTATCTCCCAGGCTAGAGTGCAGTGGTGCGATCTCTGCTCGCTGCAAGCTCCATCTCCCAGGTTCATGCCATTCTCCTGCCTCAGCCTCTCCAGCAGCTGGGACTATAGGTGTACACCACCCATGCCAGGCTGGAGTACAGTGGCGCAACCTCCACCTCCCGGGTTCAAGTGATTCCCCTGGCCCAGCCTCCTGAGTAGCTGGGACTACAGGTGCACACCACCACACCTGGCTAATTTTTTGTGTTTTAGTAGAGGCAGGGTTTCACCATGTTGGCCAGGATGGTCTCGATCTCCTGACCTTGTGATCCACCTGCCTCGGCCTCCCAGAGTGCTGGGATTACAGGTGTGAGCCACTGTGCCAGGCCGAAATATATAGTCTTTTATACTTGGATTCTTTTGTTTAGCATAATGTTTTTGATGTTCATTCAAGTTGCAGCATGTATCAGTAATGCATTTTTTATTGCTATATAGTATTCCTTTGTATGGATATACCACATTTTGTTTTTCTGTTTACCCATTGATGGACATGTGAATGTGTCCACTTTTTGGCTATTGTGAATAGTGTTGCTATGAACACTCATATACCAGTCTTAGTGTGCACATATGTTTTCATTTCTCTTGGGTAGATAATTGGGAGTATAATTGCTGGGTTGTATGGTATGTTTATGTTTAACCTTTTTAAAAATTGGGGCTGGGTGCGGTGGCTCGTGCCTGTAATCCCAGCACTTTGGGAGGCTGAGGCAGGTAGATCACCTGAGGTCAGGGGTTTGAGACCAGCCTGACCAACATGGTGAAACCCCATCTCTCCTAAAAATACCAAAATTACCTGAACGTGTTGGCAGGTGCCTGTAATCCTAGCTACTTGGGAGGCTGAGGCAGGAGAATCGCCTGAACCTGGGAGGTGGAGGTTGCAGTGAGCTAAGATCGTGCCACTGCATTCCAGCCTGGGTGACAGAGTGAGACTCCATCTCAAAAAAAAATAAATTGGAAAAATGTTTTCCAAAGTGCCTGTACCATTTTACATTTCTATTACCAATATATTAGGGTTTTAGTTTCTCCACATTCTTGTCAGCACTTGGTATTGTCACTGATTTTGATTATAGACATGCTAGCGGTGTGTCGTGGTATTTCATTGTGCATTTAATGCATTTCCCAAATAGCTGATGATGTTGATCTTTTCTTTTTTTTTTTTTTTTTTAGGCCTAATTTTTGTCTTTTGTATTTTTAGTAGAGACAAGGTTTCACCATGCTGGCCAGGCTGGTCGAGAACTCCTGACCTCAGGTGATCTACCCATCTTGGCCTTCCAAAGTGCTGGGATTACAGGTGTGAGCCACCATGCCTGGCCCTTTTCATTGTTTATTAACCATTTGCATATCTTTTTTAGTAAAATGCCTATTCAATTCTTCATTTTAAAATTAGATTGTGTTCTTATTGAATTGTAAGAATTTTTAGTATATTCTAGACACAAGTCCTATATCAATGTAGGATTTTCAGATATTTCTCCCTGTCTGTGGCTTATCTTTTCATTTTCTCATTTTCATTTCAGGTACAAAAGTTTTAAATGCTGATGAAGTTTAACTTACCAATTTTTAAAATAGGTTGTGCTTTTGGTATTGTAACTAAGAACTTTATTCTTTTTTTTTTTTTTTTTTTTGAGATGGAGTCTCGCTCTGTCACCCGGGTTGGAGTGCAGTGGCCGGATCTCAGCTCACTGCAAGCTCCGCCTCCCGGGTTTACGCCATTCTCCTGCCTCAGCCTCCCGAGTAGCTGGGACTACAGGCGCCCGCCACCTCACCCGGCTAGTTTTTTGTATTTTTTTTAGTAGAGACGGGGTTTCACCGTATTAGCCAGGATGGTCTCGATCTCCTGACCTCGTGATCCGCCCGTCTCGGCCTCCCAGAGTGCTGGGATTACAGGCTTGAGCCACCGCGCCCGGCCAGAACTTTATTCTTAACTCAAGGTTATGAAGATTTTCTTCATTGGTTTCTTCTAGAAGTTTTATAGTTTTAGCTCTTACATTTAGGGCTACAATCCATTTTAGTTAATTTTTGTGTATCAATTGAGGTGAAAGTCTAAATTCATTTTCTTGCATGTGAATATTCAGTTGTCCTCACAATCTCATATAAAGAGTATCCTTGGCCGGGTGCGGTGGCTCAAGCCTGTAATCCCAGCACTTTGGGAGGCCGAGACGGGCGGATCACGAGGTCAGGAGATTGAGACCATCCTGGCTAACATGGTGAAACCCCGTCTCTACTAAAAAAAATACAAAAAACTAGCCGGGTGAGGTGGCGGGCGCCTGTAGTCCCAGCTACTCGGGAGGCTGAGGCAGGAGAATGGCGTAAACCTGGGAGGCGGAGCTTGCAGTGAGCTGAGATTGGGCCACTGCACTCCAGCCTGGGCGACAGAGCGAGACTCCGTCTCAAAAAAACAAAACAAAACAAAACAAAACAAAACAAGAGTATCCTTTCCTCCATTGAATTACCTTGGCACCTTTATCAAAAATCAGCTGACTGTGAATCTAAGTGTTCATTTCTAGTCTCCCAATTTTGTTCCATGATCTCCATCTTCCTCCTATGACAGTAGCACACTATCTTCATTACTATAGCTTTATATTGTCTTGAAGTTAGAAGTGTACACTCCCCAATTTTATTTTCTTTTTCAAAAGTTGTTTTGTCTATTTTATGTCCTTTGAATTTCAATGTAAGTTTTAGGATCAGATTGTCAATTTCCAAAAGGGAAAAAAGCCAAAAGCCTGCTGTGGTTCTGATACGATGATTATGTCGAATCTGCAGATAAATTTTGGGGAGAATCACCATCTTAATAATAGTGAACCTTCCAGTCTATGACTGTCTCCCTATTTATTTGGAGCTTTAATTTCACTCAACAATGTTAATTTTCTTTTTTAAAATCTTTCTTCTTTTCCTCCTTTCCTTTCCTTTCCTTTTCTCTTTCTCGTTCTCTTCTCTTTCTTTCATCCCACTGTGTTGCCCAAGCCGGCCTCAAACTTCTGGTCTCAAGAATCCTCCTGCCTCAGCCTCCCTAAGTGTTGGGATTACAGGCATGAGCCACTGTACCCAGCCTTAATTTTCAGTTTACAAACTTTGTGCTGCTTTGTCACATTTATTCCTTAGCATTTTATTTTTATGGTATTGTGAATAGTATTGTTTTCTCAGTTTCATTTTTAGAATAGTCATTGCTAGTATATAGAAATATAATTGTTTTTTATATATTTATCTTATATGACCTAAGTACAATTATGACTTCTAGTTGCTTTTTTGAAATTTTATACATTCAAAATTATATAATCTGTGAACAAAAGATTTTTTTTTTACGTCTTCCTTTCCAATTAAGATGGCTTTCATTTGTTTTCTCCTCCTCATTTTGTTTGTCCCCTCCTTTTTTTTTTTTTTTTTTTTTTTTTTGAGACAGAGTTTTGCTTTGTCACCCAGGCTAGAGTGCAGTTGCAAATTTCGGCTCACTGCAATGTCCGCCTCCCGGGTTCAAGCTATTCTTCTGTCTCAGCCTCCCAAGTAGCTGAGACTACAGGTGCATGCCACCATGGCCAGCTAATTTTTGTATTTTTAGTAGAGACAGGGTTTTACCATATTGGTCAGGATGGTCTTGATCTCTTGACCTCATGATCTGCCTGCCTCGGCCTCCCAAAGTGCTGGGACTACAGGCGTCATATTTTAAGTTTTTGAGAACACGTGCAATATTTGTCACTTCTTCTTTCTTATTCTCCTCCTTTTCCTTCTCCTCCTTCTTCTTCCTTCCTTCCTCTCTCTCTTTTCTCTGTCTCCGTCTTTTGAATTCAACCCCTTAAAAAGGTAAAAACCATTTTTAGCTGGCAGGCCATACAGAAACAGGATTCAGGTTGGATTTGCCCTGTCAGGTGAGTTTACCAACTCCTGCAATAGAAAATGTAATGTAGGCTGGGCATGGTGGCTCACGCCTGTAATCCCAGCACTCTGGAAGGCCAAGGCGGGTGGATCATGGGGTCAGGAGATTGAGACCATCCTGGCTAACATGGTGAAACCCCGTCTCTACTAAAAATAAAAAAAATTAAAAAATTAGCCGGGCGTCGTGGTGGGCACCTATAGTCCAAGCTCCTTGGGAGGCTGAGGCAGGAGAATGGCATGAACCCGGGAGGCGAAGCCTGCCGTGAGCCGAGATCGCGCCACTGCACTCCAGCCTGGGCGACAGAGCGAGGCTCTATCTTAAAAAAAAAAAGAAAGAAAGAAAAAAGAAAATGTAATGCATAGGGCTGGGCACAGTAGCTTACGCTTATAATCCCAGCACTTTGGGAGCCTCAGGCTGACCTGAGGTTAGGAGTTCAAGACCAGCCTGGCAAACATGGGGAAACTCTGTCTCTACTAAAAGTACAAAAATTAGCTGGGCGTGGTCTCGGGCACCTGTAATCCCAGCTACTCAGGAGGCTAAGGCAGGAGAATCGCTTGAACTGAGGAGGTGGAGGTTGCAGTGAGCTGAGATCACACCACTGCACTCTGGCTTGGGTGAAGGAACGACTCTGTTTAAAAAATAAAAAAAAGAAAGTGTAATGCATGATGTGAAATGAAAAATAGATCCTGGGAAGTTTGTCTAGCTGGGAGATAGCTTGTGATGTAAATATATTATGAATGACCAATGGGCAAGGCAAAATTGCCTACACAGCCCTGCCTATGACCCTTCTGAAAATGTTCTTTCTTCAGCAGAATCAAAGCCAGAAATTCGACTTTGCCCCTCCTGCCCTCTGATATTCTCCAATCAGCAAGCTCTCAGCCAACATGTGTGGCTGAGTCATCTCTCTCAGCTGTTTTCAAGTTTATGGGCAGGAAATCCTCTCCAGCTGGGTAAACACTATCCGGAAGATCAGAAACAACAGCAGGATCCATTCTGCTTGAGTGGCAAAACAGAATGGATTCAAGAGGGAGAAGACTCCAGACTCCTGTTTGGGAGAGTAAGCAAAAGTGGCACTTCAAAGGCACTATCCAGCCCACGTGAAGAACAGCCAGCACGGTCCGAGGAAGACAACACAGTGGTGGATATAGGACCCAGCCCTGAAAGGAAGGCAGACCTTGAGGAAACAGACAAAGTATTGCATGGTTTAGAAATCTCAGGATTTGGAGAAATCAAATATGAAGAGTTTGGGCCAGGCTTTATCAAGGAGTCAAACCTCCTTAGCCTCCAGAAGACACAAACTGGGGAGACAGCTTACATGTACACTGAGTGGGGAGACAGCTTTGGCAGTATGTCAATCCTCATCAAAAACCCAAGGACGCACTCTGGGGGAAAGCCTTATGTGTGCAGGGAATGTGGGCGAGGCTTTACCTGGAAGTCAAACCTGATCACACATCAGAGGACACACTCAGGGGAGAAACCTTATGTGTGCAAGGATTGTGGACGAGGCTTTACTTGGAAGTCGAATCTCTTTACACATCAGCGGACACACTCAGGGCTCAAGCCTTATGTGTGCAAAGAATGTGGGCAGAGCTTTAGCCTGAAGTCAAACCTCATCACCCACCAGAGGGCGCACACTGGAGAAAAGCCTTATGTTTGCAGGGAATGTGGGCGTGGCTTTCGCCAGCATTCACACCTGGTCAGACACAAGAGGACGCATTCAGGAGAGAAGCCTTACATTTGCAGGGAGTGTGAGCAAGGCTTTAGCCAGAAGTCACACCTCATCAGACACTTAAGGACACACACAGGAGAGAAGCCTTATGTATGCACAGAATGTGGGCGTCACTTTAGCTGGAAATCAAACCTCAAAACACACCAGAGGACACACTCAGGGGTTAAACCTTATGCCTGCCTGGAGTGTGGGCAATGCTTTAGCCTGAAGTCAAACCTTAACAAACACCAGAGGTCACACACAGGGGAGAAGCCGTTTGTATGTACAGAGTGTGGGCGAGGCTTTACCCGGAAATCAACCCTCATCACACACCAGAGGACACACTCAGGGGAGAAGCCCTTCGTGTGTAATGTGTGTGGACAAGGCTTCAGTCACACCTCATCACACACCAGAGGACACACTCAGGGGAGAAGCCATTTGTATGCAGGGAGTGTGGACGAGGCTTTAATGGTAAGTCCACCCTCGTCGCACACCAGAGGACACATTCAGGGGAAAAGCCTTTTATGTGCAGAGAGTGTGGCAGAAGGTTTCGGCAGAAGCCTAACCTATTTAGGCACAAGAGGGCACACTCAGGTGCCTTTGTGTGTAGGGAGTGTGGGCAAGGCTTTTGTGCTAAGTTAACTCTCATTAAACACCAGAGGGCACACTCAGGGGGGAAGCCTCATGTGTGCAGGGAGTGTGGGCAAGGCTTTAACCGGCAGTCACACCTCATTAGACACCAGAGGACACATTCAGGAGAGAAGCCTTATATTTGCAGAAAGTGTGGGCGGGGCTTTAGTCGGAAGTCCAACCTTATCAGACATCAGAGGACACACTCAGGATAGAAACTTCATGTGTACAGGGAATGTGGTACAGCCTTACCCAGGAGTCATACTTCATCAGACACCAGAGGATGCACACAGCGCTGTGGCTTTGTCAGCCATTGCTAGATACCAAAGTGGAGACATTGTATGTGTGATTGTGCATGAGACTGTACTGGTAAGACTTGTATCTCCATCCACCTGAAGGAGAATTGCTGGCTTATTTTCAGGAGCCCTGCCCTTCCTCACTGGGGATGGTGGATTGTGAAAGCCTGGTCAGGTAATGATAGTGGCCAGAGGCAGTCAAATGCCCAGACAGATAGGGGTGGGTACCCGGTGAAACACAACCTTAAAGCTGAAGACAGTCTTGGCTAAATCCTCATACTGAATTGAGAACCTGTCTTCCCATTTGGTGTGCTTTCATCCGATTGATCCCAACCCTTCACCTATTTTGCATATGCCTGTCCTTTTCTAATTGGTTTTTACACTGCTGTGCCCACCTTTGAGTGATGCCTTTGCATACTTGCAAACCAATCAACATGTACTCCCCTATTCTGAGCCCATAAAAGACCCAGTCTCAGCCACAGTGGGAGAGAAATCACCCTGCTGTGGGAGTTGGGGACCACTCCCTGCATCCCCTCTCCACTGAGAGCTGTTCTTTCGCTCAATAAAATTCTTTTCTACCCATCCTCACCCTTCAATTGTCAGTGTATCCTCATTCTTCTTGGACTCAGGACAAGTGCTCAGAACCGCTGAACGTGGGTATAGGCTATAATAATACAGGCAGCCAAGAGGGCGGGGCACCTCCAGTGGCAGGCCCAGGGCTAAGTGAGGTCAAGGCGGGGGGTTGTCGCCCACTGTGGAGGTCCTCGGTTGGCAATGTGGCTAAGAAAAATCCTGTGTCAGTAACTTTGATGGAGAGAGTACTTTTAAATAGGTTGAAATGAGGAAATGAATACTATTCCAGTATCATTTTGCAGGTACACTTGAACATTCCTTCCACTGTATACTGGATGTTACAGAAGCTATTGCCGGTATGAAGGAGGACCAGAGAGACCACAGGGTGAGACAAGATGATTTATTGAGTGCACTCAGACCCAGAGGATTAACATCCAAAAATTGGGCCCAGAACAAAGACAGCATTTGACTTTTATACACACTTCTAAAAGTGGGTGGGCTAACTTGATACAAGCTTACAGTGGTGTAAAATGTAGTGGTGCAAAAGCCACGATACAGAGGCAGAACAAAGGCAGTTAATCAAATTGTGACAGGTGCATAACTCAGGATCACATATGACCCTTGCTTATGCAGCCCAGATGGCTGTTATCTAGGTTTGCTCACAAGAGCCTTGCATGGGCTTATCTCATAACCTTTGCTGTGGCGCCCAGATGGCTGCAGCCCAGGCCTGCTCAGGCATGTCTTAAAACTTGCACTGTGCTGCTTAGATAAAACAGAATATTGAAGTTACTAGTTACAGAAAACAGGAATCTATAACCTCATAAACTTGCAGAGCAAGGTACAATCACACGGAGGGAGGTGGGATTCTAAGGGGAACTTTTCTTATCCTTATGTTGAGGGAGTGCTGGGAGAGTCTCCACAGCATATTCCTTCGAGCCTTTGCTGCTTTGATAATGTTATCAAGACTTTGCCTGGGTCCAGGCTTTGCCTGCTGCCGCCTTTAGGGTGAGTCAGCCTAATACAGAAAGCTTGTTTTTCTCTTTTTAAATTTTATTTTCTTCTTTGTCTCATTTCTGCCTCAAAACCACAACACTAGAGCTTGTCTTTTGATGTCTGTCTGTCCTAGCTGGGAACAAGAGACTTGGAAGACACCGTGGCTGATTTACTCTGTGTTCCCCAGACCGTGACCCCACAGAGTCAGCCTCGGGAGAGTTTGGGGATTAGTTAATTCATGGAGACAGGCATAGTCCATGGGTAGAAGATTGTTTTATTATATAATATCTAGGTGACTGCAAGTATCCTAGCTCTAGGTTTTAGGAAGGGGTCCATTTTTAAAAATACCTTACCTGGCCGGGCGCGGTGGCTCAAGCCTGTAATCCCAGCACTTTGGGAGGCTGAGACGGGCGGATCACGAGGTCAGGAGATCGAGACCATCCTGGCTAACACGGTGAAACCCCGTCTCTACTAAAAAATACAAAAAACTAGCCAGGCGAGGTGGCGGGCGCCTGTAGTTCCAGCTACTCGGGAGGCTGAGGCAGGAGAATGGCGTGAACCCGGGAGGCGGAGCTTGCAGTGAGCTGAGATCCGGCCACTACACTCCAGCCTGGGCGACAGAGCGAGACTCCGTCTCAAAAAAAAAAAAACAAAAAATACCTTACCTTTGCTTAAGTCTTCTGGGGTTTTCTCTGGTTTCTGGGTTGAATCCACATTGAAGATATTTTTATTGGCTGATGTATTTAGACTAGAAGTGTATTGTGTGTTTTCTTTATAAAAACACAATATGCAGAAATAGAAAATGAAATTACTTTCTATTCTCCTTTGAATTACCAAACAACATCCTACAGGTAATTCTTGAGTTTAAATATTTCCAACCATTGTAAAATGTACCATTCTTCTGGTTGGGAACATACATGTTTTTTAATGGCAGTGTTCAACAAATTAACTTAAAATACTAGGTTAGGTCCCAGTTTTGTTTTGTTTTTATGGAACTAGACTGAATGATTCTGAATTTTATTCAGATAATTAAATTTCCAAGAATCAGTAGGAAAATATAGAAACTATATAGTAACATGTCTTGGTTCACATACAGGTTTTTAGAATAGCTCTTTAGAACCATATTTAAAAACATAGAAAAACAAACCCATCCATATATGAGCATTTTCAAAGTGATAAAGCAGGATTTCAAATCGATGTGAAAATGGCAATCACAAGATTCAGTGTTTGTGTTGTTGGCTATCAATTTAGGGAAAAAAATGTATATCCCAAAGTCGCAGTATCCATAGGAGTTAAAGTTAGGGCATCACTGTCCAAAATGATACAAGATGTTAGGGTCTTAATTTTTGTTCAACATCTGAGTGAGTAGAGTGAGAAGATCTGGTAAAAAATTATGAAGTGTTATCCTAGGTGGAGTACTTGGCATGACCTGCTTTTCCCAGCCCTCCCCCATGGCAATTCATGGGCTGGCTTTCATACTTCTCAACAGAAAAATACTTTGAGGCCGGGTGTCATGCCTCACGCCTGTAATCCCAGCACTTTGGGAGGCCGAGGTGGGTGGATCACAAAGTCAGGAGTTCGAGGCCAGCCTGGCCAATATGGTGAAACCCCATCTCTACTAAAAATACAAAAATTAGCCAGGTGTGGTGGTGGGCACCTGTAGTCCCAGCTACTCAGGAGGCTGAGGCAGGAGAATCGCTTGAACCTGGGAGGCGGGGGTTGCAGTGAGCTGATACCGCACCACTGCACTCCAGCCTGGGTAACAGAGCGATACTCTATCTCAAAAAAAAAAAAAAAAAGAAAAAAAGAAAAAGAAAAATACTTTGAGATAAACTATTTTATAATAGTTTTAAAACTATTGAGTTTTATTTCCCTAGAGTCTTAGAATTTAATTATTCTCTTCCATAAAATCATGTCACAAAATGATTTCAAAGGTAAACATGTTCTTTTAGTGTTTAACTTTTAGAAAGAATATCACAGCTTTCAACTTTTTATTTTTTTTAAAGACCAGTATGACTGGGTGTGGTAGATCACCCCTATAATCCCAACATTTTGGGAGACTGAGGCGGGTGGATCACTTGAGGCCAGGAGTTCAAGACCAGCCTGGACAACACGGTAAAACCCCATCTCTACTAAAAATACAGAAATTAGCCAGGCCATGATGGTGCATGGCTGTAATACCAGCTACTCAGGAGAATTGCTTGAGCCCAGGAGGCGGAGATTGCAGTGAGCTGAGATTGCCCACCGCGCTCCAGCCTGGGCGACAGAGTGAGACTGTCTCAAAAATAATAATAAAGGCCAGTGTGATAGTACACAGCTTTCAATTTAATTCATACATATAACTAAAATTTTGTATTAAATTGTTAAAAACTGCTAGCAAAAAATAGAACAAATGCTACCTGAAGACTCAAATAGATTTAAAAAGATACCAACCCTGTTCCATACAAACCCTGGAATACGGTTTCTATGGAGCCACACAAAGAGAACAGGAATTCTAAGAAAGGAGTAGAAAGCTACATTCTATCCTTTGGCCCAGCCCCAGCCCCAACCCTGTTGACATTAGGCCCTCTGTTCAGAACCTCTCAGGAGAGAAAACTGAGGCAGATAACCTGAGCTGTCCACCTGGACCTGGCCTGGTACTAAAATCTGCGTGCAAACTTGGAAGTTGATTAGGAGGCAAGCATCACAAAGTATTCAGTTATGTGGTTTCTTCGGAGTCTGCTGTTTTGATGATTTTCCAGTCTGTGTCTAGAAAGCCATTCACTATTGTCTTATCTTTCCCATCTGAGATGACAGCTCTAAATGTTTAAAACAAACAGAAACCTTTCCCAGAGTAACCACTGTCTATCCTACCATTCTCACAGTAAGTAGTAGACTACACTGCACAAAGAAAATTTTGAAGAACAGATGGTAAACAGTATGAGACAATATCACCTCAAATCTACAAGTCTGTTATGGTGACCATTAAAATGTTCAATTTTAAAAGAGGTCATAGTAAGTTTTTACTTATTTATTTATTTTATTTATTTTTAAATTTTTATTTATTTATTTATTGTGAGACAGAGTTGCACTCTGTCACCCAGGCTGGAGTGCAGTGGTGCGATCTTGGCTCACCGCAACTTCCGCCTCCGGGATTCAACTGATTCTCCTGCCTCAGCCTCCTGAGTAGCTAGAATTGCAGGTGTATACCACCACGCCCAGCTAATTTTTGTATTTTTAGTAGAGACAGGGTTTCCCCATGTTGGCCAGGGTGGTCTTGAATTCCTGACCTTAGGTGATCCACCCGCCTCGGCCTCCCAGAGTGCTGGGATTACAGGCATGAGCCACTATGCCTGATCTTAGTAAGTTTTAAAATAGCTATTTCATTTAGTTCTAATTTTTTTTTTTTTTTTTGAGACGGAGTCTCGCTCTGTCGCCCAGGCTGGAGTACAGTGGCCGGACCTCAGCTCACTGCAAGCTCCGCCTCCCAGGCTCACGCCATTCTCCTGCCTCAGCCTCCCGAGTAGCTGGGACTACAGGCGCCCGCCACCTCGCCCAGCTAGTTTTTTGTATTTTTTAGTAGAGACGGGGTTTCACCGGGTTAGCCAGGATGGTCTCGATCTCCTGACCTTGTGATCCGCCCGTCTCGGCCTCCCAAAGAGCTGGGATTACAGGCTTGAGCCACCGCGCCCGGCCTTTAGTTCTAATTATTATGTAACAGTGGTTATCTAAGTATGGTCAGATAATGTTTAGGGGTCAGGCACAGTGGCTCACGCCTGTAATCCCAGCACTTTGGGAGGCTGAGGCAGGCGGATCACTTGAGTTCAGGAGTTTGAGACCAGTCCGGCCAACATGGCAAAACCTCATCTCTACTAAAAATACAAAAATTAGCCGGGCATGGTGGCGCACCTGTAACCCCAGCTACTTGGGAGGCTGAGGCAGGAGAATCACTTGAACCGAGGAGGTAGAGGTTGTGGTGAGCCAAGATTGCACCACTGCACTTCAGCCTGGGCAACAGAGCAAGACTCCATCTCAAAAAAAAAA